GCAGCCGGCGATGGGGCGGCAGCAGGGGGGGTGACGGGACCCGTCCCCGCCCCGGGGTCCCTCTCGCCCGCCGACGTTCACGACTCGAGCGCTGCAGGCACGAAGTCAAGGGCGCGGAGGAGCAGCGAGCGGCTGCGCGCGGGGAAGAGAAAAGCACGACTTCCTCCCTTTTCTGAGAGATCCAAGCCCCTGTATAAAAGGAAGCGCCAAAATCGCGCGCCCCGTAGATGAAGTATTTATTCTGTTGGCACTGAAGCCCTGAGAAATGCTGCTCCCCGCTTCCCGGGGGTCTGCGGTCGGCAAAGAGGCTGCGTCTGCAGGGAGATGCTACCCGAAAAGGGCACAGCTCTCGCGCCATCCTTACAGCGCACCTCCGAACAAAAGTTGCCATCAGGGAAGTCACGCTGGCGCAAACACACCAGTAAATATCTTCCTGCAGGCCACGGGTTAATTAAGCTCTTTTCATAACAAGTTAACAATTAATGCATGCGGTTACCACAAATTACATTCTCGCTTTGCCGTGCATTCGCTAATCATCGCTGTTGCGCTCTGCAAGCCAGGGCAGCGCTTTATGAAGCGTGAAGTTTGCAAGGAACGCTCTTACTGGAGATAAAGGGAGCCCGAGCTCAGGGCAGGTCCAGAAAGCACCGGGGTGCCTGGGAACAGGGCTCCTTCCAAAACCAACAGCTGAGGTTTTGAGAGAACTCGGCAGATTTAGCTTAAATATTCAGGTTTCTGAAGCAGGGACCACTCACGCTGTGCGCAGCATGAATGGAGAGAGACTCAGGGAACAGGCTGTTACAATTCGCGTCGAGCAGCACCCCTGTTGCAGCAGACCTACGTTCAAAGCACGCACTCAGGGCTGCGGGATGACGCAGGCGGCCACGGCCGCTTCCACTACAGAGCGGAAGCGAGATTTCCTTTGAAATTGAATCTCAAAGCCGTCGCTGCGCAACAGTAAGAGGCAGCCCGGTGAGGAATACCAACGGCAGCAGCGAACCCGCTCATCAGAATCGTCTGAAGGTGTCAAACTTTTAACGCTGCGGATCCTTATACCAGAAAAACGCAGGTGGAATTAAAAGGAAGAATAATTTCGGGCAGGCGCAGGGACCGTCTGCGTGCTGTATCTGTACAGCACCTACCACCGGGACGCCCTGCTCCCGGAATGAGACTCCCCAGACCTCTGCAACACAGGAGTGACACAGAAACCACAGCTGAAAAAAAAAAGAAACCAAACCAACCCCATCATCCGAGACCCATCTCAAGTGCAGAGTTTTATTGACAGGCTACGTGGGGCTGCGTGATCGAGCCCACCCGCAGAGTTTTCACCTCACAGAGCCTTCGGCGCGGCATCCTCGGACCCGCTCTGTGAGCACTCGGCAAGGCGCCCGCTGCTCGAGCGAGCGGCTGCGCAGCAGAGGTAACCAGAACACGCACCCAGCGCTGCTCCGGGTGAAGCTCTGGCTCCGTTTTCTGCCTTCCTCGGCCTGCAGACATCAACAGCTTGCAACTGTCCTCTTGGAAGGCGCGATCCAGCCTAACGAGCCCGCTGCTTCTGGCGCCTCGTGCCAAGTCCACCACCAAGAAGCCGTTCTGGAGATGAGTCACAAACCACACTGGAGACAGGCCCTTTGCGGTGCTATTCTACACCCCTCTCCCTCTTCTCCAGAGCTCTGCCAGCTGCCAGAGGACAGATACTGTGGTCAAAGATCTCACGATGGAAAATTCTGTGAAGAGATTTTAAAAAAAAAAAAAAAAAAAAAAGTACAGCTTTTTAAGCGGCCTGTTTTTGTTTAAGCACCGGACCCACATGTTGTGTCAGCACGACATGCAAAATATTTTCTTCATGCATAACTGTCTGCTCCACCAATTAACCAAAAAATGATCTAGCCGATGCTGACAGGTGCTAAGTACCACTTCTAGAGACTGGGTTTGGGGAGAGGGCTGTACAGCAGAGCACACAGTACTAAAAGAAGCAGCGGGCATATTATTTCTTATTCCTTTGGTGCCTCAAAACTCCAGTTTTGAGATCCCACTGCACTACAGCGCGGAAGCAGAAGAGAAAGTCAGCGCGCAGCTCAGGGATGGCCCTGCTGAAGACAAAGGCTGGCACCTGGCAGAGCGCTGGGTTTCGGAACAAAGGAGCTCCTTTGTGTGAGCACGGTTCTGCTCTGCAGCTTCACAGGGTCCCTAATGGTATTTCACAGTCAGTTTAGTGCTGCGCCCCTGGAACGCTCGCGCTACGCCAAGTAAACAGCAGCTCTGTGAATTCCTGGCAGGGTTCGCCGCGCCAGTTAAATTAACCTACCGTTTGTTTCCTGTGGATGTTCACGATATGAATGTCTTCGCTGCGATACTCCTCATCGTGCTTATCCAGCGGAATTTTTTCCAGCTCAAAGTCCATCTGAAGCAGCTGGTTATCAGAGAACACACAAAACGGTTCAAGTGACACCGACTGCCCTTTTGGACTAAGCAGGTCCGGTTAGAAAGGTCCCACAAGGTACCCACGCGAGGGCAAGAAGCAGCTGGAATCACCGCGCTCAGACTGCTCCACTGAAGGCCTCTAAAACATGCTGGTTTTCCCCCCCATGCAGCACATTTACCCTCGTTTTTAACTACTCCCGTGCCAGTTCAAAGCTACAGACACCTTGTAACATTTAAAAAAAAAAAATCTAAAAGCTTGCGATAAAACATGTTGCTTCCTCCAATCTCCAAAGTGCTAAGCCAAACCACAGCACCTCCCTCTGTCTGCCAACCTTCCAAATGGAGGGGTTGGGGGGGGGGGGAGGAAAGGCTAAAACCCCCCCAGCGTCAACTCTGCAATGTGCTCAGAAGATTAACTTGGCTGAACCCTGGCAAGCTGAGGAAGGAAATAAATTACAAGAAAGCAGAAATCATCCAGAAACACCTACACCTATTGTATTTATTGTGGGAGCGGCACCTCGTCAGAGCTGACCTCAATTACAGCAACCCTCCTCACAGTCAGGTCCCCACAGGAGTTTGAGGCATGGCTAATTATCAAAGAGGTGCTTTTATTAACACGTACAAATCGTCCTGGAATTCTTGCCCTTCCCCTTTTTTGTAGTAGTATTATTATGTATAATCCAGTACTCCTGCACAAGGGCTGCTTTTCAGCAGACTTCACAGGTGCAGTTAAATCCTGCACTGCTCATCACCCCCACAGCCCTGGGAGGGATTCAGCTGTTACCTGTGTTCCTTTTCTTTACAGAAGATACAGCTGGACTATTTAATTATATCACCAATTAATGCTCTGTCAGTAGAGAGGGGAAATTTTTGCACAAGCAGCTATATCACTTAGCAGAGAGTCTCGAGTTCCTGAGCTACTCTGGAAAACTTTACCTGTATTTTCCTTCTGCTTTCCATGGAACACGCTAAAACAGCGTAAATGTTCACCAGACTGATTTTTAATCCTCCCAAATAACCTCTGATAACATCAAGACCACCGCTGCAGAAAGAAGGCAGCAACCGACTGCTAATTCACTTCCTCCTACAAAAATGACTGGTTTGATTTTGACAGATACTGCCTCACGTATGGTGGCGGCCCTTTTGCAAATGTAGAAGGTATCACAAGCTCGAGAGGCTTTTAACAACCTATGTAAGTCTGGCTGCCTGGATCAAAAGCATCAATAGAGTTAAGATGAGTAAGGCAAGAAAGGTTAGTCTGACCTTTTGAGGGAAGGAAAGCTCAGTAAGTATCCAGGAAGTCTCTACTGGCGAGTTGGACGACAACTTCAAGAGTCACCATCCAAATTCGCTGCCCCATCTAAAGACAGATGTGCTTCTCCTGCTACAAACTCTACTTTGCGCAGTCAACCTGAATTGGTATGTGTAGCAACTGCCATTGATGTCCAGCTGTTCCAATACAAAGCCCTCCTGTAACCAAGCAATTTTCCTAGTGTTCAAAAAGCACACGTTAAAAACACTTACCTCAAAGTATTTTCTCTCAATTTCAGGATTCTTTCCCATAGTCCTCTGTTCGTAACAGCACAAGACGCACGTATCGGGGCCAGTAAGGTCTTTCAGTGTCTTCAGCAACGGTTCTAATGACTGCCCAAAAGAGGTTAAGTATTTCCCACTTAGATTTCAAGTTCATTTTACTGGTACGATACCCTCTAACTAGAGAAAGTCTTCACCCAAGGGAGGACTTTCCAGTTTTGCTTTTCAGGGAGTTATTTTTAGTACTTTAACTGGGACAAAAAGAACATGGGGGCAAGCTGGAAAGCAGAGGAGAAAGGGAGACTGCATCGGAGAAGGGTTTCACAGACTGACCAAGAAAACTGAACTAGCATCAAAGCCAAAACCATCCCACACTGCTGAGCGGGCATTTCCTTGAGGCACACAACAATGACTATTTCTTGACATGTTTCAAAAGCGAGGGTTTTCTCAACCATTCTCGGGACACGGCTCAGATCCAGACCACTACGTGTATGGGAACAGGACCAACGTGCAGGGCGCCAGTGCAAGGGGCTGGTAAGACCACTGAAAGAGCACTGGGACACGGGGTACTTCAGGTCATTTCCCTTTTCTTGCAACTTCTGTTGGCTCTCTGCGCACATCCTACAGAGCTCCAGCTCAGGAGATGGGGCAGACTACAACAACCACTTAGCTGGAGCATGATTTCTCCTTTTGCCTTCCCAAGGGAAGCGTGAGGAGAACCCAAACGGTGCAGATGTGGCACTATTAAATTTCATTTACCAATGCATTAAACAGTCCACAACTATCAGTCGCAATGTTTTGCTTCACACTTCATTCCCAATGTGAAAAAAAAAAACAAGGGGGGAGGAGGGTAGGCACAAATATTAAGTTTGGGGTTTTTTTTAAACATAAAAAAAGTCTCTGGCTGAATCTCAAATGGACTTGAATCTGTTAAAAACGCCTTTTCCAGCCTTGTTCTGTGTATTCCTCTAAACCACGGGGACCAAGATGCAAGCGCCAATATTCATCTGAACTATTCTCATGCTGAACCCGCACCCTTCCCGAGGAAGCTTTCTATAGGGGTTTTGCAAAGTCCTCATTTACCTCCTCATAGTAAATGCAATCAGCCATTAGTATATAATCGGGGGGAGGCTGAAATTCTGTTACATCTTCACCCCTATAAAGAAGCAAAAAAAAAAAAAAAAAAAGGTGAAAACAAGCTCCAGCAATAATACAACACGTACTACTAAAGGGCTGAGCATAAGGTTAACTGCTGTGTTCTTATACTGAGCTTCCCTTTCACAGCAGCGTTTTCAAGTACGTTTGGCAATTTAACAAAGCAAGGGCAGGAGCCCCGTTAAAGCTGAACAGAAACGTGAAAGGATCATACAAACCATTTCAGTACCTTGGCTCGGACTGACCCTGTGACCAGGTGCTTGTTGTGCTCTATGTTCGCCAGCAGCAGCTCCTGCAGCTCCTCAAGGTCGGTGACCGTCACGTTTGCCCTGCAACACAGGCGGGGTTACGGCCCGAGCCTCCGGCCCCTCGCAAAAATACCCGTTTTGCGAGAATTCAGGCGATTTCACGCAGGCGATGCAATAAAGCGGGATGAGAGACGGAGGAGCAGGCGCCTGCCCCTT